CCGAGGCGATTGCGGCTAAGTCACAGTCTCCTTGGGTATTCATTATAAGTACATACCTCTTGCTTGTGATACATACTTCAGATATATGTCAGACTTATCTGTGGCCTGTCAAGATAAAGCGAAAGGTCAATGGTGCCAGGAACTGAAGTACTGGTCTGTGAGGGAGTGTATTTCGGGCACTTAAAAATCGAGTTTTGTGTGTGTGTCTGTGTAGGGTGTAGGGTGTAGTGTGTGTGTGTGTTTGTGTAGTGTGTAGGGTATATGTGTGTGTGTGTGTGTGTGTGTGTGTAGTGTGTGTGTAGTGTGTGTGTGTGTTTGTGTGTGTGTGTGTGTGTGTGTGTGTTTTGATGTATTTTGTATGGATGTCTATGTCAACTAGAAAAGCAATCAGAGAGTGCAGACCTCCGCCAAGGTGCGTATATAATATATATACTTTGGCTGCGTCCAGACGGTAATTCGGAATGTCACCAAAATTTAACCAGTTCTAAGTTAGTCCCTTTCTGACTTGTCCCCAAAATTTCGATGAAATCCGGCCAGCACTTTTTGAGCTACGCTGCTAACAAACAAACAAACCAATAAACCAACGCCGTCAAAAACATAACCTCCTTGGCGGAGGTAATAAGTATCTACATAGATTATGTATCTATATATTTATATATATATATTTTTTTTGAAAATGTACCTATTCTGAATTGCACCTTATTCTAACAACCAATTTTTCTTTCTTCCCCCACCCCACCCTCCTCTACCCAACCCTACCCTCCCCATACCCTACCCTACACTTCCCTTACCTTACCCTCCCCTTCCTTACCTTACCTTACCTTACCCTACCCTACCCTACTCTACCCTCCCCTCCCCTACCCTACCCTCCCCTACCCTACCCCTCCCTTCCCCTACCTTCCCCTCCCCTACCTTATCCTACCCTACCCTCCCCTACCTCGCCCTCCCTTCCCCCCCCACAACAGGTACCAGCGGGGGGTCGTGCGGGTCAGAATCAGACGTGCGTGTGCACCAGCCTGTACGACTACGAGGCCCAGGGAGACGACGAGCTCAGCCTCCGCCGCGGGGAGATCATCGAGGTCCTCAGCCAAGACGTCAAGATCTCCGGCGACGAGGGCTGGTGGACGGGGAAGATCAATGGAAAGGTGAGGAAAAGGGATAGGGGGAGGAATAGGGGATAGGGAGAGGGAGGGGGGATGGAGGGATGGGGGATAGAGGTGAGAGGGGGTGAGGGATAGGGATCGGGGATAGGGATGGATCTCCGGCGACGAGGGCTGGTGGACGGGGAAGATCAATGGAAAGGTGAGGACGGGGATAGGGGGATAGGGAAGGAGGGAGGATAGGGGGATGGGGATGGGAGGAGGTAGAGGGATGGGGAGAGGAAATTGTGAGAGAGAGAGCGAGAGAGAGAAAGCGAGAGAGAGAAAGCGAGAGAGAGAAAGCGAGAGAGAGAAAGCGAGAGAGAGAAAGCGAGAGAGAGAAAGCGAGAGAGAGAGAGAGAGAGAGAGAGAGAGAGAGAGAGAGAGAGAGAGAGAGAGAGAGAGAGAGAGGGTGGGATGGGGAGGGTGAGAAGGGTGAAGGGGAAGGGTGGGGAGGGTGAGAAGGGTGAAGGGGAAGGGTGGGGAGGGTGAGAAGGGGGAGGGTGGAGGAGGTGGTGATGCTTGATTGGGTGAGTGATTGGAAAAGGATGAAGGGAGGGGGGGAGAAGGAGGGAATGTGGGAAAGTGCTTGCTTGAGTGGATGAAAGGGGGGGAGGGGCACTTTCTTAGGTGGATGAGAGGGGAGGTGCATCTTGGGTGAGTGAAAGGGGGAAAGGAAGTGCTTGAATTTGGTGGATGAGAGGGGGGGTGGGGGAAGGGTGCTTAGGTTGGATGAGGGGGGAGAGTGGAGTGAATGAAAGAGGGGGAGGGAGTGCTTGCATCGAAAGGGTGAGAGGGGGATAGGGTGTCTGGGTGGATGAACGAGGGGGTGGGGGGGGGGAGGATGCCTGTTTTGGGTGGATGAGGGAGAGAGTGAGTGTTTTTGAGGATGCGTGAGACTGCTTGCTGAGATTTATTGATTGTTTGCGTGGATGAAGTTGGGTGTGTGTGCTTTGAGTGGATGAGGGGGGAGGGTGCTTGCTTTGAATGGATGAGGGGGGAGGGTGCTTGCTTTGAATGGATGAGGGGGGGGAGTGTGTGCTTGCTTTCAGTGGATGGGGGGGGGAGATGGTGCTTGAGTGGATGAGTGTTGGGATAGTGATGCTTGCTTGATGAGGGGGGGGAGAAGGAGCTTGAGTGTTGGGATAGTGGTGCTTGCTTGCGTGGATGAGGGAGGAGAGAGGGTGCTTGAGTGGATGAGTGTTGGGATAGCGGTGCTTGCTTGCGTGGAAAAAGTGGAGGAGAAGGAGATTCGGGGAAGGGGAAGTTGTGCTTGCGTAGGGGGGTGAGGTGGAAGGAAAGTGGCAATTAATTGGGTGAGTGATTGTGGAAGAGAGAGAGAGAGAGAGATAGGGAAATAAGGAAATAAATAAAGAAAGGAAGAAAGAAAGAAAGTTAGAAAGAGAGAGAGAGTGAAAGGAAGAAAGAGGGAAAGAAAGAAAGAAAAAAGAGAGACAGAGAGAAAGAGACAAGAGAAAACGTAAGAACGATAAAAAAAAGAATTGGAAACACGGGAATAAAAAAACAAAAACAAAAAAGACAAACAAACAACAACAACAACAAAAAAATCAGCCTGAAAGAAGAACGAGGAGGAGAATGGACGAAGACGAGACGAGGTGAATGGAAAGACGAAGAGGAAAAAGAAGCGGAAATCAGCGATGAGTGAGAAGAGGGGGTTTATTGATCAAAGGGGGGGACGTGAATGGGGAAGGGAGGTCGGGCGTAGGGCGGGGCGGACGGAGGAGAGAAAACAGCTGTTCGGGGGAAAAGTACAGGAGGGTGGGAGAGGTGGGTGGGTGGGGGGAGAGGGAGGGAGGGTGAAGGGGTGAGGGAAGGAGGGTGGGAGGGAAGGGGTGAGGGAAGGAGGGGGGAGAGGGAAGGGGTGAGGGCGAGACAGAGGTGGAAGGAGTAAAAATAAGGGTGGGAGGGAGAGGGAAGGGAGGGAGGGTGAGGAAAGGGAGGGAGGGAGGGATGGAGGTGGAAGGATGGAGGGGGGAGGGATGGAGGGAGAGGGAGGGGAGAGGAGAGGGAGGGAGGGTGGGGAGGGGAGAGGGGAGAGGGAGGGGATGAGGGAGGGACGGAGGTGGAAGGAGGGGAGGGTGGAGGGAGAGGGAAAGGGTGAGGGTGGAAAGGAGAGAAAAGGAGGGTGGAAGGAAGAGGGAAGGAGAGAGAGGGAAGGATGAAGGGAGAGAGAGAGAGAGGAGAGAGAGAGAGAGAGAGAGAGAGAGAGAGAGAGAGAGAGAGAGAGAGAGAGAGAGAGAGAGAGAGAGAGAGAGAGAGAAGGAAATTCATAGAGAGAGAAAGAAAGAAAGAAATAGAGAAAATAAGAGAGAGAGAGAGAGAGAGAGAGTAGAGAGAGAGAGGAGAGAGAGAGGTGAGAGAGAGAGAGAGAGAGAGAGAGAGAGAGAGAGAAGGAAAATTTAAAGAGAGAGAAAGAAAGAAAGAAAAAAGAGAGACAGAGAGAAAGAGACAGACAGACAAACAGAGACAAACAGACAAGAGAAAACGTGAGTACGATAAAAAAAAAGAATTGGAAACACGGGAATAAAAAAACAAAAACAAAAAAGACAAGCAAACAACAACAACAAAAAAATCAACCTGAAAGAAGAACGAGGAGGAGAATGGACGAAGACGAGACGAGGTGAATGGAAAGACGAAGAGGAAAAAGAAGCGGAAATCAGCGATGAGTGAGAAGAGGGGGTTTATTGATCAAAGGGGGGGACGTGAATGGGGAAGGGAGGTCGGGCGTAGGGCGGGCGGACGGAGGAGAGAAAACAGCTGTTCGGGGGAAAAGTACAGGAGGGTGGGAGAGGTGGGTGGGTGGGGGGAGAGGGAAGGGGTGAGGGAAGGAGGGTGGGAGGGAGAGGGAGGGTGAAGGGGTGAGGGAAGGAGGGTGGGAGGGAGAGGGAAGGGGTGAGGGAAGGAGGGTGGGAGGGAGAGGGAAGGGGTGAGGGAAGGAGGGTGGGAGGGAGAGGGAAGGGGTGAGGGAAGGAGGGTGGGAGGGAGAGGGAAGGGGTGAGGGAAGGAGGGTGGGAGGGAGAGGGAAGGGGTGAGGGAAGGAGGGTGGGAGGGAGAGGGAAGGGGTGAGGGAAGGAGGGTGGGAGGGAGAGGGAAGGGGTGAGGGAGGGACGGAGGTGGAAGGAGTAAAAATAAGGGTGGGAGGGAGAGGGAAGGGGTGAGGGAGGGACGGAGGTGGAAGGAGGGAGGGTGGGAGGGAGAGGGAAGGGGTGAGGGTGGAAAGGAGAGAAAAGGAGGGTGGAAGGAAGAGGGAAGGAGAGAGAGGGAAGGATGAAGGGAGAGAGAGGGAAGGATGAAGGAAGGGAGAGAGAGAGAGACGAGAGAGAGAGAGAGAAGAGAGAGAGAGAGAGCGAGAGAGAGAGAGAGATGAGAGAGAGAGAGAGAGAGAGAGATGAGAGAGAGAGAAGAGAAGAATAGAGAAAATAAGAGAGAGAGAGAGAGAGAGAGAGAGAGAGAGAGAGAGAGAGAGAGAGTGAGAGAGAGAGAGAGAGAGAGAGAGAGAGAGAGAGAGAAGGAAATTTAAAGAGAGAGAAAGAAAGAAAGAAATAGAGAAAATAAGAGAGAGAGAGAGAGAGAGAGAGAGAGAGAGAGAGAGAGAGAGAGAGAGAGAGAGAGAGAGAGAGAGAGAGAGAGAGAAATAGTGTAGTCATGTAAAACAGCTTGTTCAATTAATAATGAACCGCACATTCCACGTCGAAAGGTATTTGCTGCAGCCATCACACTCCAGTTTAAAGCTGATGTTTTAACGTAGGAAGTCACGGGCGATGTTTTTTTGCCCAGCTGAATTAACACCTGAGAACCATGTTGCGTGCGCGATGTTGCTTCGGTGCACATACACGTGTGTGTGTGTGTGTGTATGTGTATGTATGTATGTATGTATGTATGTATTTATTCATTTATCAGTGTATATATATGTATGTTTGTATTTCCCTTTGATGAGAGCTGATGTATGTGCATGGGTGTGCGTGCGTGCGTGCGTGCGTGCGTGCATTATTCCTCGTAACCTCATCCTGTACTGACGATTCCCCCCCCCCCCTCCCCGCAGGTGGGCATCTTCCCGTCGAACTTCGTGGCGGAGGTGCAGAACATCAAAGACGTGGAGCCGGTGGAGATCGACTTCCAGGAGCTCGAGCTGGAGGAGGTGATCGGGGTCGGGGGCTTCGGCAAGGTGTACCGCGGCCTGTGGCAGGGGCAGGAGGTGGCGGTGAAGGCGGCGCGGCAGGATCCCGACGAGGACATTAGCGTCACCATCGAGAACGTGAGGCAGGAGGCCAAGCTGTTCTGGCTGCTCAAGCACGTGAACATAGTGGCGCTGAAGGGCGTGTGCCTGGTGGAGCCCAACCTGTGCCTGGTGATGGAGTACGCGAGGGGCGGCTCCCTCAGCCGGGTCCTGCAGCAGACCAAGGGCATCGGGCCGTCCGTGCTCACCGACTGGGCCATCCAGATCGCCCGCGGGATGAACTACCTCCACAACCAGGCGCCGATCACGCTCATCCACAGGGACCTCAAGTCATCCAATGGTGAGTACCTCCTACGTGCTGCTATTAGTATTGATATTATTATTATCATCATTATTATTGTTATTATTGATATTATTATTATCATCATTATTATTGTTATTATTGATATTACTATTATCATCATTATTATTGTTGTTGTTGCTGTTATTGTTTTCTGTTTTTTGAAGGATGTATTAGGGTTTTTATTATTATTATTGATATCATTATTGTTTTTATTATTATTATTGATATCATTATTGTTTTTATTATTATTGTTGTTGTTTTCTGTTTTTTGAAGGGTGTATTTGGATTTTTAAGAACTGTAGGACGGGGCGGACATTTTTTCTTCTTGAAGGGTGTATTTAGATTAGAAAAAAGGGGCGGTCGTCGAGAAAGTTTAAAGAAGTATTTTGTTGGGCGTGCTTGGATTAAAGAGAAAATGTAGGACATTCTGGGGCTTTTTTCGCAGGTCGTACTTGGAATTCAAGAAAAAAATAAAAAACTTGGAAAGATATGAAAAGATATTTTATTTATTTATTTGGATTTTTTTTGAACGAGACATTTTTTTCTCTCTTTTCTTTATTTCTTTTTTGAGTAATATTTTCTTTCGTTTTTGTAATATTCTTAGATTATTAAATGCAAGGCGGGGATGGTGGGAGATTTTATCCACGAAAAAGCATAAAAAAAAAAATACCGCCATTTTATCCACGAGAGATTTATTTTATCCACGAAAAAGCGTTAAAAAAAAAACTTACCGCCATAATATCCGCGAGAGATTTTATCCACGAAAAAGCATAAAAAAATGACCGCCTTTTTATCCATGAGAGATTTTATCCACGAAAAAGCATAAAAAAATACCGCCATTTTATCCACGAGAGATTTATTTTATCCACGAAAAAGCATTAAAAAAAAACTTACCGCCATAATATCCGCGAGAGATTTTATCCACGAAAAAGCATACAAAAAATTACCGCCTTTTTATCCACGAGAGGTTTTACCCACGAAAAGGCATGGAAATAAATTTGCCGCCATTTTATCCACGAGAGATTTTATCCACGAAAAAGCATAAAAAAACCGCCATTTTATCCACGAGAAATTTTATCCACGAAAAAGCATAAAGAAAAATACCGCCATTTTATCCACGAGAGATTTTATCCACGGAAAAGCATTTAAAAAAAATAACCGCCATTTTATCCACGAATGGGCGCGAAAACTACAAGACAGCACATAATTGAAATTGCTGTAATGCCATGTTGCTGTGTCCCCCTCGTTGCCACAATTGCAATAAGTGCAGGCGGTGGGGGGGGGGGGGGGAGCAGGCGACAACAGCAATGCAGGCTCTCTCTCGCGGGGGGGGGGGGGGGGTGGCGCCATTAGCATGCACACCGCCTCGATTTTTTTTTTTTTTTTTTTTTTTTTTTGATAGTTTTTAGTTTTAGTTTGTTATGTCCCCCCCCCCCCCCGTGCATTACAGTTGGTTGTACGGGATAATGGGGGTATTTTTTTTTTTTTTTTAGGTGTTAAATTGTGTGTGTGGGGGGGGATTGTATTTTTTTCTGGTAATTTAAATAAAAAAGTTTTGAGGGATGTTTTTTCAGATTTTTTTTTCCGCGCCTTTATTTATTTATTTTTTTTTATATATATACATTTATTTTTGTATTTTATTTTCTTTTATTTATTCATTCGTTTATGTTATTTATATATCTACTTATTTAATTATTTATTTATTTATTTGCTTATTTATTTATTTATTATTCTTAGGGAACATTGAAAGCAGAATGAATTTAAATGGCGCTGGGATGGATGTGGAAACGGGGAGGAGGAGAAAGATGTTGATAATAATTAGAAGAAGAAGAATAAGAATGTGAAGGGAACTTAGGTACGGCGACCGACAGACACACGCGAATGAGAAATAAGAAAGAAAAAAGAAAATCAAGATTACGGCGAACAACACAAGATAGGAGCAAGATAGGAAAGACATGCACACGCGCACACTTACACGTACACACACACGTACACACACACGTACACACACACGTACACACACACACACGCACACACACGCACACACACACACACACACACACACACACACACACACACACACACACACACACACACACACACACACACACACACACACACACACACACACACACACACGCACACACACACGCACACACACACGCACACACGCACACACACACACACACACACGCACACACACACACACACACACACACACACACACACACACACACACACACACACACACACACACACGCACACACACACACACACACACACACACACACACACACACACACACACACACACACACACACACACACACTCACTCTCTCTCACGGCGACTGAACCACCGCCCAACCCGAGCGACACGAGGGCGGCTTCACACACGCCACCAAGGGCGCTGCTCCCGTTGCGTCGTCGCCCGGCCCTCGCGCCCTCCCGCTCAGATTAGGTCAGTCGGCGAGGGAAGCCCTACAGGTGAGGGGGATGAGGGAGGGGGGCAGTGATCGCGCGAGGGGGAACATAGGCCTATTGAAGGGGGGGGGAGGGGATGGGGGAAGGGGGTTGGGGGTTGGGAAGGGGTTGATGGGGTGGATGGAGGGAGGAGGGGAGACAGAGATGAGAGAGGACGGGGGTGGAGGGGAGAGAGAGGGAGAGGGGAGGGGAGAGGGAGCGAGAGAAATGGGGGAGGGAGGGAGAGAGAAGTGATAAGGAAGGGATGGTTAGTTTTGTCTTGTTTGTTTGTTTATCTTTTGCTAGATGTGGGTAAGGTAGGGTGAGATGTGGAGAAAATTCGACTTTGTTTTGAATGTGCTTGCTTGGGAGATTTTGAAAGGCTAAGTTCGAGGAAATTCGACTTGTTTGGGTGTGCTTGCCTGGGAGATTCGACTTGTTAGGGAGCGCTTGCTTGGGAGATGGTGATAGGGGTAAGTGCGATTGGGTGAGAGGAGAAGAGAAAAGTAGAACAAGGAAGAGAGAAGGGGAGAATAGGGAAGAGTGAGTGAAGCACATTATAGAGTAGAGAAGAGACGAGAAAAGGAGAAGAGAAGAGTGGAGAAGAGAAATAGAAGAACAGAAGAGACGAAAAAAGGTAGAATAGAGTAGAGAAAAGTAGAGAAAAGAAGAGAAGATAAAAATAGAGTAGAAATGTAGAAATAGAGTAAAGGAAAGAAAAACAAAAAGAGCGTACGCGGTCAGAGTAAAAAAAAGAAGAAAAGAAAAGAAGAATGAGAAGGAAATAGATAACGAAGCAAAAGGCAGACCTGGAGATAATTCCTTCCCCCTTCACAAAAAAGGGCGAATTTCAAGCCTATCATTGAATTAGGCCTGTTGTCAGCACCGTAGTCAGCCAATCTATCAGCGTCTATTAAGCGTCTCTCTCGCCCTCGGTAGGCCTATGTTGCCTCTCGGGGGTTGGGTGGGTGCAGGGAGGGGGAGGGGGTCAGAGGAGGGAGGAAGGGAGGAGGGGGTAAGAGGAGGGGGGGAGGGAGGGGTAGAGGAGGGCATTTCGTGTTTATTTTTAATTTGTCGATTTTTTTTTATTTTATTGATTTGTTTGTTTGTTTGATCACTTGTGGGAGGTGAGGGAGGAGGATCGGGGGGGGGGGGGGAGTTGAAAGGGTGAGGTGGAGAGGCGAAAAGGGAGGAAGAGGGAGAGGGAGAGGATGGAAGTAGGAGAGAATACACTGGAGGAAAAACAAGGGGGGGGGGGGATAGAAAGAAAGAAAGAAGAGACAGAGAGAGGGAAAGAGTGAAGAGATAGAGAGAGGGAAAAGTAGAGCTGAATTATAAAATATTGCTGCTTTTGCTCCTTTTTTTCGTACGTTCGTGTTTTTTTTATGATTATGTGTGTATATGCTTGTATTTATTTGTTTGTTCATTTATTTATTTACAACTCTGTGCGGGGCTAAGAGAAAGTACAAAAAAAGAGAAAGAACACACACATGCACACGCACACGCACGCACACACACACACACACACACACACACACACACACACACACACACACACACACACACACACACACACACACACACACACACACAAACACACACACACAAACACACACACACACACACACACACACACACACACACACACACACACACACACACACACACACACACACACACACACACACACACACACACACCGAGGGAAAGAGGCGCACGGAAGGGAAGTCAACGTTTTAAATAAAAATACAAAAAAGGGTTAACGCCCAGGCAATCGATAAACACGACTTGCATTCGGGGCAATAACGAGGCCTCGCGCTCAGTCGACGAGGGAGGAAGGAAGGGAGGGAGGAAGAAGGGAGAGAGGGAGGGAGGAAGAAAGGAGGGAGGGAGGAGAGAAAGAAGTGAGGGATGGAGGGAGTGGAGAAAGAAGGAAGGAGGGAGGGAGGGATGGAGGGAGTGGAGAAAGAAGGGTGAGAGGGAGGGAGGAAGAAAGGAGGGTGGGAAGAAGGGAGGGAGGAGAGAAAGAAGGGAGGGAGGGAGGAAGGAAGGGAGGAGAGAAAGAAGGGAGGGCAGGAGGATGGGTAGGTGGTTGGGTGGGTGGGAGGGGGGAGAGAAGGGAGGAAGGAAAGGAGGGAAGGAGGAAAGAAAGAAATAAGGAAGAAAAGAAAGAAAGAATGAATGAATGAAGTAAAGAGAGGAAGGGATATTAGTTATATAGATAGACCGAGAGATATATATAGACAGACAAATATTAATATGGATAGAAAGTTATAGAATAGATAGATAAATAAGTATAGATAAGTAGAGATAGATTAGTAGATAGATAGATGGTTATACGAATAAGTAAAGGGATATTATTAGAATGCTGAATGTTTATTATTATAACAGTTGGCAAGTGTCCTTTGCGCGTGTTTATTTTCCGGGGGTTTTGTTTGCATTCATGAGTATGCACTTTGGAACGTGTGTTTTCATGCATGCTGTGGGGTCAAGGGGGGGGGGGGGAATATGGCGGGGTCAGGGGAGGTGAGGAGGGGGGTAAGGTAGGGGTACCCGGAGGTGGG